TTTCTTATACATTAGGCCCACATGCCAGAGTAAACATCACTCATTGCATGACCTGCATTCGTGAAGTCCCGAGCTAGACAACACACTCGACGTTCCAAAAGATGTGAATTCCAACTCAGTGTTTGACTTGTTTAGCACCTCATGCACTCAAAGCTCTTCCCAAATTATGGCTTGAATTAAACACTACTAGCATTTCTTGGACCCCAAATGTCATGAATGTAGGTTGCAAAACAACTGACTTATTGAAAAAAGCGGGTTGCCATTGTTATACCTTTTCATGAATTGGTTCGATATTTTCGTCACGGTTTCACCAGGTCGCCTCATGTTTCAGTTGGTACAATACTCGAGATATCACGATACATCTATAGACGTGATAGACTACTCATAAGGTTGCTGAAAATTGTTCGACATCCCCCCTTCTTGGGGATCATCAGGTAGGCGCAGTTCTTGAGGTTCCATCAAACTTGTACCTGAACCCGAATTGCACGAAGTTGGCGAACTACACTTATTTTCATACTAATTTGGTTTTGCGGGAGACCTACCTAGAATCCAGCTGGGTCTTTGGTTTATCACCCCAAAGAAGAAAGGAACCGGTCGTGGGCTGTCGGGAAACTTTCAGAAACCTTACGAGTAGTATATTACAGCCACATACTTAGTTTAAGTAGGTGTTTACCTCTCTGGAATAAGTTGTAAACCTAGTGATCTTTTGAATTTACTTGAGTTGGAATCATCGTCATCATCGACAGCATGACATCAGTGTTAAACACCGATGCTTCACTGCTGCACAACCATGATCTACTTGAAAGCCTTATTGTAAAGGGTAAAGGTGGATGGGGAAGGGACTTTGTCCTAGCTTACCACAATCATTCCGAGGAGCCTGTACCTCCAGACGCTCACTTAAGCAATCTGGATAGGAACTGACAACAAGAACGCCACTGACTTCGGTTGGTAGCTATATCTTGCAGTGTCTCCAACCAGGCACAGTGAGGATGACGCGGTCCCCATCCTGGAAGGCCAGTAGCACCGACAACACCCAAGCGTTGAAATGGTGTCGAACGGCAAGTAGCACCGACAGCACCCAAGCGTTGGAATGGTGTCGAAATTTCTCCAGTATTCTATTCTTTAGCATACCCAGTATAAAGACATTCGTTTTGTACATCTGTATCACTGCTGGATCAGTTTTGCCCGGATTGAACGGGTGCAGAAATCCGTGGCTTCTGGCGGGGCTGTGAGTTTGCTCAGGTCCACACACACATACGGCTTTTCAACACATGTCTTCGTCACCAAAGAGCCAGTGAGGTGTTCTAAGATGTCTACGAATACAAAACCCAAGCGGAGGAAGGTCCCTTCCGGACCCTTTATTACACACAGATCAAATTTGTCTAATACCTCAATCGGTTCATCCGCAAGCATGAGGCTAGGGTTCGAACCCACCCAGTCTTGCAGTGGCACTTTACACTTTGCAGGTGTGAAGCGCATGCCGAACCGCGAGGCAGAATTATTTAGATTGTTTAATATTGTTTGCGTTACCACGGGGTCAGTTCCAAGAAGAGCTATGTCGTCTGCGTACTCGATGTCTGTGAGGGGAGGCCCAGGGAGCACTTCGACCCCACAGGCATTAGAGGCTGGTAGTGAGTCTTCCATGATCGTATCAATGACGAAGTTGAAGAACCACTTGATGTGGTGAACTCAGGCGAGAGCTTCCCGTAGACCTTTACACGGCCGCGGGAGTTGGCGTACAGCGCCTTAATGAGGTTCAAGAATTTATGGGGGACACCTTTGCTCCACAGACACTG